CTCTGTGTTTCTTTTGTTGTTGTTGTTTGTTTGTTTGTTTTTGAGTCGGAGTCTCACTCTGTCGCCCAGACTGGAGCGCAGGGGCCGCTCCCGGCCACCGCAGCCTCGACCTGCCGGCCTCCGGCCATCCTTCTGCCTCAGCCTTCCGAGGAGCTGGAACTACAGGCACACACTACCATGCCTGGCTAATATTTTTTGATTGATTGTAGAGATGAGGTCTCGCCAAGTTGCCCAGGCGGGTCTCGAACCCGCCGGCTCAGGCAATCCACTCACCTCGGCCTCCCAAAGGCGTGGGATGACAGGCTGAGCCACCGAGCCCGGCTAGAGCCTCCGCTTTTCATCTGTAAGATGGCGCTGCCGACTGTAGCTATTCCGGGGCTGGAGTGAGGATTAGGTGAGGCCGGGTGCGAGGAGGGGCGAACACCGGCACCTCAGCCTTCCAAGGAGCTGGACCCCCGGCCATGTGCCACCATGTCCGGCCGATTTTTTTTATCTATTGTAGACATGAGGGGCTGTCTCCAGGCACAGTGGGGCATGGGGCGCTGGGGACGGACACACCGCGGGCACCCCCAGCTGTTGCCGCCTGCCCGAGGCTCTCGTGGGGGCGGGGTGGCTGCCTCAAGTCCCTGGAGAGCTGCTGGGACAGGGTGTCCTGCGGCCTGGCCTTGTCCCGTGCGGGCTTTTCCAGCACCGCCAGGAGGACAGCAGCCCAGGCCAGGGACTAGCCGGGTCTGTCCGGCCACACCAGGGTTCCCCATCACGCGGGCCCTTGGCAAACGCCGGACGCGGGGACAGGGACTCTCCAAGCCAGCCCCGCCCGGAGGCGGCAGCCCCAGGCCTCGCCCCTGCCCGCCCTGCGGGCCCGATGCTCTGCCATCAGCCACCAAGGTTAGCCTCGGCAGCGTGCCACCACCCCGAGGTCCCGGGGGCGACCCATTTGGACTTGAAACTCATCCCAGGAAGGAAGAAATCAGGCCCGGGCCCAGTCACGGGGCTGGCTGGCCACTTCCACTCCACCCCGGCCCTGTCGCCAGCCCGGGGCCCACGAGGCTGGGCCCTACACCCCTTAAGGGGAGAGCCGGGTAGCCGGTGGGACACGCGGCTCTGGGCTTGGGCAGGGTCTGTCCACGTGGCCTCCTCAGTCAGGTTTGTTGCTGAGGTCAAGCACCAGCACCGAGCACGCCCCCGTGTCGGCCTGGAGCTCACGTCTGGAAGGCCGAGCACGGGGCTCGAGGCCTGCAGTGGCGACACTCGCCAGGGCTTCTGTGCATGGGTCCCTTGTCCTTTTGGAAATCTGCACTGACTTTCATCACGGGGTGAGCCGAGGGGATTTGGTCATCATCAGGGACAATTTCAGTCTGAATCAGAGAGCCGGAGTCCAAGGTTTCCTTGCAGGATTTATCTCGACCTTCTCTTAAGGCCCTGACATCTGGGGCTGTGGGAGGGAGCCCTGTGCTCGTGCCGTCTCTGCGTCCCTTGCCGGGGCCTCATGGCGCTGCTGAGGGCCTCGGAGGCGGGTCCTTGCGCCCTCATGGAACCCAGGGCACGAGCAGCCTTGAGAGCGTGCAGGACACTGATGCTACACAAAACTCTCCTCGTGCTTCTGAGGAAATCGGGCAGGAAACACCTTGACAAACCGGCATTGCGCCACAGGCCGCTTTCGGTGCTTTCTCGATACTTCCTCAAATAAGCAAGATACCTGTGGTGGGGGCAGGGCAGGTCAGTGGGACCACCCTGGCTCGCTTTATGACCTGGTAGAACTCCAGGGCGAGGAAGCCTCTCTTGGCTTCTGGGGCAGCCAGACGAGGTCCCCCTACCCTTTGTCGTGGACAGACCCCCAGACTCTTCGGGAGGGGCGTTCCCTCTGCCCTCTGAGCCAGGCAAGCTGGCAGGCCGGTGAAGGGCGGCGCGTGGGTGCTCCCTGCTCACAGGTGGAGAGGGCAGGGGAGCCGTGCGGGCAGGTCTGAGGGTCACCACCCTGCCGCGTCACCACGCGGGACTCGGGTCTGAGACGTGCGGAGGCAGTTGCTACGCTGAGTGGCCTGCAGGTCCCTTCCACTCCTAAAGCCCTATCCCCATCACAGGGAAACCGAGGCACCCAGCTCATCTCCAAACACAAAGTCCGGAAACTGGGGCTCCCCCGTAGGAAGAAGGGAATTTCCAGTGCGTGCCTGTTTGTGCGAGACAAGGCCCACGGCTTGACTAAGACCAGCCGCGCCTGGGGTGCTATGTGGAAACTGAAAACGTCTGGTCATGCAACTTTCCTCTCTGGGCCGGGGGAGGAGACAGCAGAAATAGGGGCCAGAGGATGCTTAAATAACTACCCGACTTCAAGAGGGAAGTGGTGGCCGGCTTCCGACGGCGGGACACCCCTGGGGAGGACCCTAGTCCTGCGTTCGAGTTCCATCCCCAAGCCTCCGAGCAGACGGGGCACCCAATTCCTAACCGGCAGCAGCTCCAAAATCTCACTTTCCATACAGACCACAGATGATGAAACCCATGAGACGGTCAAGGCATCGGAGGACAGGCTGTCAAAAATGACGTGCTTTGGACGGCAGGTGGGACACGCAGATGCAGAGACTTCCGGTCTGCGGGTGAGAACCTGCAGCTTCAGCCGAGTGGGGAGGGGTCGAGTCACTCTGCGGGTGGGAGGGCGGAGGCTGCCCCAGGAACCAAGTTGTGGTCTCCCCACCACCCAAGACCCCCTTGGAGAGGAAGCTGGCACTCCGCACAGCTCCTGCAGGGTTCAGCTCCTTCAGTCCTGGGATAAAGACGCTTCCTGGGCTTCGCTGGCTTTCTGATGGGATTTTGCTCCATGCAACAGCTGTCCAGAAGCGAAGTTTGGAGCTGGTCTTCAAGCTTTTGTTCTGAGGCATTCTGCCACATTTCCGGGGAAAGTAGTTCTGCTTGAATCGCTACAGACTCAGGAAGTTGTCTCAGAAACAGCGCGGTAGACGTGCTGAGACCTAGTTCCTCATCTTGCTTTTCAACCTAGACTTCGGTGCTGGCCATGAAGACCTTAGTGGGCAAGTCTGACCTTCCCTCCATCCTCTGAAGGATCGTGCTGTTAGCGACTGCCTTCGATGAATGCGCAGCTTGTTCATTAGCACAGGCAGTAGGTAAGGTCACTTCCGGAACGCTGCTCCACTAGGCTCTGATTTAGGAAGCCAGGGTCTCGCTGCCACCCATTTTCAGACAGGCCTGTGACCTTGAGCCAGGGCCCATAATGCCACCGCAGGGAAGGAGTCCGTTTGATAAGGCAGTCACCCTCTCAGGAAACAATGCTGTTCTAAGAATAAGCTTTACTAGAGAAAGCTGACCAAGGGACGCAGACTGAAAACACATTCAAGTTTCAAGGAGTCTACCAGAATGACCAATTCTACCTCAGTGCTCCAGAACAGACACAGCGATGCCAACCGTGCGCGAGGTGAAACCTCAGATATTTGTTGTTCTCTCTTCTTCAGCATGACTGGAAGGAATCAGGCTTGCTGACTTTGGAGGAAATGAACGGGACTGGGGAGTGTTTCTTTTTTTTTTTGAGTTGGCGTCTCACTCTGTCGCCCAGACTGGAGTGCAGTGGCCGCTCCTGGTCACCGCAGCCTTGACCTGCTGGGCTCCGGCGATCCTTCCGCCTCAGCCTTCCAAGTAGCTGGAACCACAGGTGCGCGCTACCACGCCTGGCTAATTTTTTGATTTATTGTAGAGATGAGGTCTTGCCAGGTTGCCCAGGCGGGTCTCGAACCTGCGGACTCAGGCAATCCACTCACCTCAGCCTCCCAAACGCTGGAATTACAGGCTGAGCCACTGAGCCCCGCTGAGAGTGTTTCTTAAACCTTTACTTTATCTCGAGGAAGATGGAGGAGTCTGAGTCTGATGTTTCCCAGACCAACAAACGGATCCATTTAGCAGAACTGACTTTTTTTTTTGGGGGGGGGAGTCGAAGTCTCATTCTGTCGCCCAGGCTGGAGTGCAGTGGCCTGCTCATGGCCACCAGAGCCTCGACCTGCTGGGCTCAGGCCATCCTTCCGCCTCAGCTTTCCAAATACCTGGAACTACAGGCACATGCTGCCACACCCCAGGTAATTTTTGGATTTATTGTAGAGATGAGGTCTTGCCAAGTTGCCCAGCTGGTCTCCAACCCCTGGGCTCAGGCAGTCCTCTCGCCTCTGCCTCCCAAAAGTGCTAGGATTACAGGCTTGAGCCACCGTGCCCGGCCAGAACTGACACTTTAAAGAAATGCTCTTTTCCCCTAGAGAGACCAGGTCATACTATGCTGTCCGGGCTGGATTCAAACTCCTGGGCTCAAATGATCCTCCCGCCTGAGCCCCCTGAGTAGCTGGAAGAACCGTACGTGTCACTGTACCAGCTTATGTATGCGTGTATGTATAAAACGAAAACATGTAAATATACACACGGAATTCTGATAATGGATAGAAACACAGATCTCCTTGGCAAGCCTCTGACCTCACAAATGCGTGTTAAAACAAGAACTCAGTAAGGAGTTCTTGGAAAGAGATGAACTCTTTTTGAAGGCAGCCTTGGGATGGCTCCAATGCTCCAGGAGCTGGGCCGGGAAGTGTGGCTGGGTGGCATGGCAGTGCACGTTTTAAGGAAGCAGAACCGTGACATTCCACAAGGGCAGCTGTCCCTCCTGGCGTTGGGGGGGCTCGACTTTCCCTGAGACGCCTGGTGGGGAACACGAGGGGCAGCGGGCTGTGCTCGGGCAGAGGAAGTTGGGGGGGAGAGGTGGGAGGGGCTTCTGCCTGGGCTCTGTGGGGGAGGGCTCGGACCTCAAAGTGCGCGGTGACGTCAGCTGCCCTACCTCCCCAGACGAAAGGCGGGACAGCAGGCCTGCTGGGGAGCCCCGACGATGGCGTCCCCTCGAGGCACAGCCGACTCCGGGCAGCCCCGAGCCAGCCCTCGTGGGGTGTCCCGCCAACCCATGAACCACCCACCGTTTCCCCAAACACCACCAGGAAGACACCGTGGAAAGAAATGAATTCGTGTGTGAAAGGCATGGATGGATTTTATTTATTACCCTATATCTACAGTTTAATTTGAGGTAAAATAGAAGCAACACATAAAAATGCCTATTTCTGCTACCATGTAATATAATTCTCCATTGTGAATATTGTGATAAAGCTAATGGAAACTCTATGCCATCACATACTCTAGCTTTCATATAGCTGGTATTTTACAACTCTTATTGTCTGTGAAATCTCAACACATGTACGACTCTCCTACGAGCGGCGCAGAGCGTCAGAGGGTGTGCGGCGTCACCTTACCGACCCTCACTCCCCAGCTGGTGCCTCCATGTCACAGGACGCAGCAGGAAAGAATGCAGGCGATGGTAACCCCTGGAGACTGCACCAAGCTGGAACCGTGTTCCAAAGAGCTCCAGTCCACGACAGGTTACACGATGGCAAGGCTTTAGCGTCGCCTAGCTTCCCAAGTGTGCACACCTGGTCTTCAACTCTGGTACACCATGCATTGTATTGGAACAAAAAACAAGAGTGGAAGAGGTTCTCTGTATTTCGTCTAGAATTCACACGCTCAGATACTGACCTCTGACTGTTAGGCGATCCAGATGTTTTTTCTTTTAATTATGATTTAAAAAAAACACATGAACCATGAGAGACAGCTTAGGAAAAGGTTTAGTCAAATATACAGATACTAAATGTTCACTCAGTCGTTAAGGAGAGCCGTGAACATTTAAATGATCATTTAAATGATTTTTCAAATAGAAAAACTAAAGAACTGGACTATCACGGGAAGTTTCTTCACTGCAGAAGCTGAGACGTTCCAGTAGGAGGTATCTTCTCTCGAGTGGAAAATAAACGCCACAGCTGGAGGCTCTGCTGAATATGTGAAAAATCTGGGGAGAGTCACCCCTGTCATGTTCCCTGTCGTCTTTCCAGCACTGCTGTAAAATCCTTATAACACATTCCAAAGTAAACCAGCCATTCCAAATCTACAGTCACTCTGCTCTTTAATTCAATTCACAGAACTGCTGAAAAAGTAGACATTTCTATCTAAAAGTAGAAAAAAAGGTTTGTATAGAAGGTATTTCTGTTATACAAGTATATTACACAGCTTGGGGTAGTAACGGGTCCGAAAAGCTCTTCTCAACCACTGAAACTTTAAGCTACAACAGGAGAGAAAACAAACAAGCAAGCAAACAGGTTAACCTGATGACAGGAATTTAACATTTGCAAATATCACAACTTAACTTGCAGATGCTGGTCACAACTACCTGGGTTCAAATGCACTCATAAAATGACGTGAAACTTTAGGCCCACGAATTGACAGAGTAAGGCAAATTCCACTATAACAAAAGTCTCCGCATGAAAAAACCCATCATCACGGTACAGTCAGGTCAGAGCCCACTGATGTCAAGCTACTCGTCACTGTCATGAGGACATGAACCAGCTGAGGCTTGGGAAGCACAAAAGGACATGGGATCAAGATGTGCTGATTCTTGGTCTAAAGCTACTCTTGTTAATCACTTGGTCAGGTCTAAGAAATCTGGAAGAACAAAATCAGACTTGTAGCTCGATTACGCAAAGTGAACAATGAATTTGCAGCTCAGTCAGACTCGCAAATACTATGATTATTCAGGGAAAAAAATCAGCCTAATGGCACTGACTCAGAGGGACTTCCAATGATGAGCGCAAGGTTTGCTCTACAGATGAAAAACAAAACATTTCTTTTTAAGGCAAAAGTGCTTTTATATCTTTGACTAAGACATATATTGATTCAAGGAAAATCTGCTTGAACCTGCCAGCTCAAACCATCTAGTAAGGCTTATACTCGAATCCCGCAGCCCCTGAAGGCAGGGCCACCACCTTATGGCTAAAGTAGGGAAATCACATGAGCTAATGAATACGGGGTGGGTTCAGATGGACACCACATGGCATCCCTGACACAGAAGCTGATTTACCCTAGGAGGGAAGAGGTCTACCACGTGGGGTCTGGCTCTTGCTTGATCTGAGAGCTTCCATCCGTCTCTTTTATTTCTATCAACAGAAACAAAATAGTACCAATTAATCGCACTATTCATGCAAACCTGCTCAATTATAAATCCATTCCTACCACGCTATTTACTAAGGTGTGGTTTAATAAGAATTACAAGATACTGAAAATGAAACATTTTCAGAGACAATGTTTTTTTAACAACAAATTCTGAATTCTGTTATGTAGTTTCAAAGTAACAGCCATCTTAACACGTCTATGTACTTAAAGGATGTGTACTATCTAGGCTGGTGGCCATTCAACTGACAGTCAAGCAGAATTCACCAGGTCATCTGGGGAAAGCGGAGGGAAAGAAGCCATGAGTCATCTGCAAACTGCATCAAACTACAAACCAAGTGCATTCGGAAACAAGAGAACAAAATCACCACATGGTTCTAGTGAAACTGTTTTAAAACCACCATCCTTTTTCTGAACAGAAGTCTTAAGGAACTTGATTTTCACAGCTGGACTACCCTTTTACCTTCTGTTGCTGGAACCTCCAACTGGCTCGGTTCAGCTGATTCTAAAGAGAAACACACAGGGATTTATTTTCGCAGTTTGCTTTGAATTATTTAAAGACTAGGAGAAAGAAGAGTGCAGAAAGCCCTCCAGACTCTGTACACAAAGCACAAGTCCTAGGCACAGTCTTAAGAGTAAACACACAATTACCCAAGTGGACTTTCGAATTTCTCCTTTGCGGAAATGTGTTACAAGTTCACATCTACAGCTGAAGTCTTAATTAACAATCTTAACACTGCTCTACCACGAAAGCAGGAAATTCCTTCTTTTTGTTTGTTTGTTTGTTTGTTTGTTTTGAGTTGGAGTCTCACTCTGTCGCCCAGACTGGAGTGCAGTGGCCGCTCCCGGCCACCGCAGCCTCGACCTGCTGGGCTCCGGCGAGCCGTCCGCCTCAGCCTTCCACGTAGCTGGAACTACAGGCACGCGCTACCACGCCCGGCTGATTTTTTTTTGATTTATTGTAGAGATGAGGTCTCGCGACCCAGGCAGGTCTTGAACCCGTGGGCTCAGCCAATCCACTCACCTCAGCCTCCCAAAGGCACGGTGTTACAGGCTGAGCCACCGAGCCCGTCTAGACCAACTTCTTACTCTGACATTTCATTCTGTGCCATCAATCTTGGGATTCCTGACATTAAGCCCAATCTGGGTGAGTGGGTTCAAATGGAGTGCAGCCTCAGTCAGGACCTACAGCTAAAACGTGTGTCTATACCGGCTTTCGAACACAGGAGTTTGCTTGAAAAAGACTAGGTAGGTGTGCACTGTGTAACTGAGTCAGTCCCCTTAGAGGCAGGCAACTGTAAGCATGTGAGGCCTCACAATGACATGTGATCAGCTCCTTGTCAGACAAGCAAGAATATTTCTACGTTTTACGCAGCTTCACTGACCTTGTATCACGGGGCCTTCTGACTCATTCTGATCAACCAGCTCTGAAAACAAAGCAGATTAGTTTAAGTAATAATCTAATGATATGCTGTTACACATAAAGAGCATTTTAATATACACTTGCTATTCTGAGGTCCCAACTTTGCATAACAGGCATTATCTTCCTTATGATGAGAAGGGAACACACATTAAGAGTTCTGGTGTATGTCCATCAAAATCACCAACTTTAGTAATTACCGTAAAATGTTATCACACACTATTGCACAAGAATGAGAGTAAAATTGAACATTTAAAACATAACTTTAGGGGGCAAATAGGCTTAAAACATAACATCCCAGCTGGGCACGGTGGCTCACACTTATAATCCCAGCACTTTGGGAGGCGGAGGCAAGAAGATTGCCTGAGTCCACAGGTTCGAGACCCGCCTGGGCAACATGGCGAGACCTCGTCTCTACAATAAATCAAAATGAGCCGGGTGTAGTGGTGCACACCTGTAGTTCCAGCTACTTGGAAGGCTGAGGCGGAAGGGTTGCCTGTGCCCAGCAGGTCAAGGCTGTGGTGGCCATGAGCGTGCCACTGCACTCCAGCCTGGGCGACAGAGTGGGACTCCGATTCAAAAATTAAAAAATACATCAATAAAATAAAACATTCCTTGGAAACAAAATATACATCAGACAGATAAAAGCAGGATTGATTTTAAAAGATTAAAAAAATGTACCAGGTGTCTTTTCATACTGTGATCAAAGCTAAATGCAAAAATAATTCAAACTCTACAAAACATCTCTTTAATTATTATCATCACCAGATCCTAACACACTTGCCAAGACAGAGGGTATTCTAAACATAGAGTCTATAAAAAAATGAGCTCATGGTTTGTGGTACAATTAAATGAATACATTTTGTGATAAAGTGAAACTCAGAGCTTGGTGGCAGAAGACCCATAACTAAATCCACGACACTGAAGAGGGAATGAGGGTCAAAGACGATGGTCAACAGCGTGAAGTGGACAGGAACAGCACAGAGGAGCAGGTAAAATAACAACAAAGCTTCCTGATCCACGGGGCAAATCAAGGGTTCATGTGGCTCTGACGATCCTGGTTACTGAAGAGAGCTAAGCAAGACACCGAAGTGCCTTATGCTTCCAATGAGTAAACTACAAAACTGATTGGTGTTAGTTGTTTTTGGAGTTGGAGTCTCACTCTGTCGCCCGGGCTTCAGAGCAGTGGCACACTCACAGCCACTGCAGCCTTGACCTGCTGGGCTCAGGCAGCCCTTTTGCCTCAGCCTTCCAAGTAGCTGGAATTACAGGCGTGCACCACCACATCCAGCTACTTTTTTTATTGATTGTAGAGATGAGGTCTCGCTAAATTGCCCAGGTCGGACTCAAACCGAGGGCTCAGGTAATCCTCTCACTTCAACCTCCCAAAGTGCTGGGATTATAGGCGTGAGCCACCACACCCAGCCTAGGTGATTTTAAAGAGTTAAAACACTAACTCTAATAAGAAAAGACTGAAATGCTAAAGGTATTAGAGAAAGATGATTCTCACTTTTATAAATTTAAACAGTAAGCTAATAGAGCACCACAAAACATACTACAAAATTAGGATTTGCTCAAAATGCTATTTAAAATGACATAAACATTAGGGAACCGGGACACTTCTATTGGTGTGAGACACCAAGCTGTAATGCCGACAGTCGCAATCTAAAGCACACTAAATGACTGACTTTGTCATTTTCAAGCACGGTTGTTATACAATAGAATAATACTAGTCATAAAAACCGTAATAAACATAGGCTGCATTTGTTGAGCACATACTTGGCCAGATAATGTTCTAGGTCAGAGGTCTGCTACCTTTTTTTCCACAGAGCCACTCACTAAACACTTTAGATTTTGCAGGTGACACAGTCTGTTACAACCTTTCAATTCTGCCGTACTCAAATGGATACGACGGTGGTCCCAGTAAAATTTTATTTGCAAACACAAGAAGCAGCTTGCTGACACCTGCTTTAGATGCTTTATGCATACCCCAAACCCCCAAAATCGGTACTATTATTTCCACTTTATGCTTGAGTACACTGAGGATAGGAAAAAATCAAGAAATCTGAAGAATCCTCCATCTAGGAAGAGACTGACGTGGCTCACTGCGCACTCAAACAACTATGCTGCATGGTTACTAACATAGGTGAAGCAGCGTAATGCTGGGAAAGCCCAAAACCACGTATACATACGTTAAGAGATGTCTGTCATAATCAGAAGTGTCTGGACGCTGATGGCAACCACTCTGAGCATCTCTTGTAACTGCAGAAGTCAAACGTGGCTTGTATTCATCTTAGTGAATACTATAATTTTAATATAGTTTTTTCCTTTCTTAAAAATGTGCATACATTTTTTGGGCACCCTGTGTATACTCTGTGAGTTAAGTATATGTGCACATGCATATGCACACATATACCCTCAGACCCCAGGAAGAAACAAAAAAAAACTTCATGAAATACTCACGGTTATTAATCACAAGTCCTGGAAACGGTCTAAAGAGAGAAACAAATTGTGTAACAATTTATTTTCACTCTATAGGAATTTACATGCATATTTGTTTATTCAACTAGTAATTAACCTATGGCACTTATGTACTATAATGAGAAATTTTTTTTTTTTTTTTGGAGTTGGAGTTGGAGTCTCACTCTGTCGCCCAGACTGGAGTGCAGTGGCCGCTCCTGGCCACCGCAGCCTCGACCTGCTGGGCTCCGGCGATCCTTCAGCCTCAGCCTTCCACGTAGCTGGAACTACAGGCATACGCTACCACACCCGGCTCATTTTGATTTATTGTAGAGATGAGGTCTTGCCAAGTTGCCCAGGCAGGTCTCGAACCCGCGGGCTCAGGCAATCCACTCACCTCAGCCTCCCAAAGGTGCGGGATTACAGACTGAGCCACCGAGCCTGGATACTTTTTTTTTTTTTTTGAGTTGGAGTCTCACTCTGTCACCCAGACTGGAGTCAGTGGCACGCTCCCGGCCACTGCAGCCTCGACCTGCTGGGCTCCAGTGATCCTTCCTCCTCAGCCTTCCAAGTAGCTGAACTACAGGTGCGCGCTACCATGCCCGGCTGATTTTTGATTAATTGTAGAGATGAGGTCTTGCCAAGTTGCCCAGGCGGGTCTCAAACCCGTGGGCTCAGGCAATCCACTCGCCTCAGCCTCCCAAGGCACGGGATTATAGGCTGAGCCACCGAGCCCAGCTTATAATGAGAAATATTATCCAGGACCTTTTAATCTTATGCTATAGATATATATGCATAACTAATATGGAACACTGTTAGGAAATGTCACACTACAGATATAGGAAAAAGAAAAAAATAGAAACATAGGGAAGGGAATAGAGGAATTCTAGTTAAATGGTCTAATGGAAGGCTTTCTGCCCAGCCCCTGGAAATGAAATGGAGAATGGCCATGGGTTAAGTGAAACAAAAATACGAGATTTTTAGAGTTGGGAGAAGATAAACAAATGAGTAAAAAAACTTCAACAGGGCAATAAATTAGAGATTTCCGAGCACCAGTATTATGGAATTTGTACTAGAGTCAGTGGGAACTTGACTGGGAACTGACTGGGTAGATTTAGTGCCAGCTCAGTTGCTGGGAGCTAGAAGAGAAGCCCAAAGACAACTCAGGATTTCTGCGTAGGTAGATGTCACTTACTGTGACATGCACACATTAATGAATGTGATTCTCATAATGCTGTCAGAGCAATAAGTATAATCATCATTCCTACTCAATGGCCAAGGAGCTGACGCTGTCAAGAGGAACAATTATCCCCTCATCTTACAGACAAGGAAACAGAAGTGACTTGGCTAACCAATGGCTGACTTGGGATCCAATCCCTGTCTGACCGGAAGCCCCAACAGATACCTTAAGACAGAGATATGCAAAATGTTTCTATAAAGTACCAGAGAGGAAATATTCTAGGTTTTGCAGGCCATACTGCCTCTGTCCCACCAACTCAGTGGAATCACCGTGAGGGCAAAGCAGCCACACGTAACATGAAAACTGGACATAACTATGTTTTACTGAGACTATAAAAACAGGCGGCAGGTGGCATTTGGTCCACAGCCCTGGTTTGCCAACCCTTGCCCTAAAAACCAAAGAATTAAAATAATTAGCCGAGGGAGAAGAGAATCTGATGTTATAATAACCAAATAAGTATCTCTATTTGCTTATTTCACTATTTAGTAAGCTTGGTTCTATTGCTACATGGGACTGCGTCTAGAGGATGTCTTGGCCCCACCTTCTCCAGATCTGTTCTTGTGGTGACTACGCAGACCACTTACCTGATGACTGTGAATTTGATAAATTCAGCAGAGTCTAAGATCCTTCTCATGGAGCTGATTTCTAGGTAGCTGGGGGCTTTGAACGACACCCCAGGAGGCATGCCATCAACTACCACACAACCAGGGTTGATTGTGATTTTCCTGTAGGGCACTTTCACAGGGAAACCCATACCAATAGCTTCACCTATAATGACACAAATAGCAAACAAACACAGATTAACCTGGTACCTTAAGAAGTTTTTAGAAAGCACGAGATGAAACTTTATTTAAAGTGTCTCAGCTGTTAACTAAGGTCTTTGTTCACTTTAGACGAACTTAAAGGTGAACCTTAATTTTATTAACTTTGAGACTTATTCGGTGAATTTAGCGAAAGCAAAAACATTGTTAAATTTTAGTTCCTTTTGTGATAGAATTACACCTACCTGACCATCATCTGCTGAACATTATCTCATGAAAATAAATCCCCTTGCTTATTATAAACTGTACTTTGCAAATGCAAAACTTACCAAATTTTCGACTGAAGAGGTCATTCACTTGTTCTCTTAGCTGTCTCGCTTTTTCAACTTTTGAGAGTCTTTCGTTATCATCATCTAAAACAGTTAAGAGGAAACCCAAAACTTAATAGTGTACCTTTTTTTGTGAGAGAGGGAATAGAGGTTTTGCTACGTTGCCTAAGCTGGGCTAGAACTCCTGGGCTCAAATGATCCTCCTGCCTCAGCCTCCCAAGTAGCTGGGACCATAGGCATGCTACAGGCACGGCTCAATAACACACTTTTAATCCCAAGTAAATTTTCAGGAGCTCTGTGGAATGGTTTTAAGCACTTTGCATTTTTGAGCATTTTGAACTATTCAAGTTTGAAATTATTTAAAGTTATCATATCAAATTGAAAATGCTACAAGCTTATTCTTGTTTCGTTTTGCTTTTTTTTGAGTTGGAGTCTCACTCTGTCGCCCAGACTGGAGTGCAGTGGCCGCTCCCGGCTACCGCAGCCTCGACCTGCTGGGCTCCGGCAATCCTTCCACCTCAGCCTTCCGAGTAGCTGGAATTACAGGCGCACGCTACCATGCCCAGCTGATTTTTTGATTTATTGTAGAGATGAGGTCTCGCTGCCCAGGTGGGTCTCGAATCTGCGGGCTCAGGCAATCCACTCACCTCAGCCTCCCAAAGGCACAGGATTAACAGGCTGAGCCACCGAGCCCAGCTAAGCTTATTCTTGGTATAAAGATCTTTAACCGTTGTTTTACACTGATTTTCTTTTTAAGGAACAGACTAGATGTTTGAGTGGTTAAAAGGTTTTAGCCCATGCCAAGTAACTTCCTAGAACTGTAGATAAACTATATTTGGTTCACAACTTCTGCAGGGGTCTGGGAAGGGTACAAGTACCCTAGTGTATTAGAGTTCACAAATGACCAGAGCAAACTCCTCTAGTATGTGTTGGGAAAAGTCTGAAAAAAAAAAAAGTAAGTGACTCACAAACCATGACAGAGTCAGAGAAATCATACCTGGAATTGTCACCTGAATGATGTTAAGATCTTCAACACCTGATGCAGTAGTATTAACACTGGGTGATGAATTTATTTTTCCTTAAAATACAAATTTAAAATCAGAGTTTGAAGAAAACATGGTCAAAATCTTCTCTAACAATCAAGCTGCAAGAGACAGTATCTTATCTCAAGCTTGTTCGGGGTTGCTTCTTTTCATGCTGTCTTATCATTTCAATAAGACTGTTTTCCAGATTTTCTCCTCCTGGTGGTGCTTAGTAGAGCATCACACACATCGAGACACTCAATTATTAAAGAACTAAAAATCCTTTTTTTTTTTTTTTTTTTTTTTTTTGAGTTGGAGTCTCACTCTGTCGCCCAGACTGGAGTGCAGTGGCACGCTTCCAGCCACCGCAGCCTCGACCTGCTGGGCTCCAGCAATCCTTCCGCCTCACCCTTCCAAGTCACTGGAACTACAGACGTGCGTTACCACACCCTGGCTAATTTTTTGATTTATTGTAGAGATGAGGTCTTGCCAAGTTACCCAGGCGGGTCTGGAACCCACGGGCTCAGGCAATCCACTCACCTCGGCCTCCCAAAGCGCGGGATTACAGGCTGAGCCACTGAGCCCGGCAGAACTAAAAATCTTAAGATAGTTAAAATCTCCATTTATTTCATGAGTTTTGCTGGTTTCATCTCAACAGTCACTCTAAGCAATTTTTTACAAGTCACTGCTGCAAGATGCATATCTAACAGTACACTGTCTAGAGGGAGGACACTCACTTGGAGGGCTCTTGGAGGAGGTGCTCTCCTTAATTGCTGTCTCAAACATTTCCGGCCTACAAGAGAAAAATCATGTGCTAATCAAATGGTAAAACTCCGACATTTAAATTTCAATGAGCAAAAGATTTAAAAACCAGTAACTCTGTATAATTAAAGAACAGAAATAACATGGTTATCTAAAAGACCACATCCAAAAAGACAAACTATAACTGTGATATGAACATCCACCCTTTTCTCCTCTTTGATCCCACCTTGTCCCATACCTGTTTTATTGGCATTTCTTCCCAAGGTTAGAATATATCCTGAAAAGAATCAATGCCAGATTTGAGAATGGAAACAGAAAATGCCCCATGTCCACAGCAGGGAAACTCAAGACAGGTTATAAAACCAGGGTCACTCCGGAAGCAGAAGCAGAGGACTTACAGGTTATAAAACCAGGGTCACTCCGGAAGCAGAAGCAGAGGACTTAGCTGCTGCCAAACCTCCACAGACCTGACCCAAAGTACAAAAGGTTGCCATGCATGGCAACGCCAGTTTTATTTGAAGCAACATTTTTGCACCCCAGGATGACCCCAAATTACGCCTTAAGCCAAGTTAATAAACCTAAAATTCATTTCAATTAACTTCAAATAATTATTCAGCATTAGTCTATATTTCAAAGTTCCAATTATTCCCATCTATTTCTATTGCTAGACTAATACATAGATATTCAAGCAAACACAGGAGATATGAAAAATATTCTACAAGTTGGAGAAATAAAGAATTTTGGAAAACTGAGCCACCACTTAGATTCTGGCAGCATCAACTGGTGATAATATGGCCTTGGGTGGATTAAACCACAAAATGTTATCTCGCTGGTGTGCTAGAGTCCTCCTTCCCTTCTAGTAATTGATTAAGAAAAATTTAAAACATATACAAAAATACAGCTTAAAGAAGAGCCTTTGTGACGCTAGGGCTAATTTAGTCGTGCTATAAATGTGAACCCATGCAACTGCTTCCCGGTGTCTGACGGGATCAACTCAGTGCTGTTTCATCTAATTTACTTACTTTTTAATGATGAACTTAATTTTGGCTTTGTTTCTGAGTATTTTCTCCAGCCTTGGAATGCCAAAAGTGGATGGTCTTCGGAATGGCACACCCTCAGGTAAGCCTTCCACGTAAAAGTCTTCTGGGAAAGATTCAAATAATGCAAACGGCACCTTCACAGCTTGTTTAAGGCCAAGAGCTTCACCTGTAAAATGCCCACATGCAAACAAAACAAAACAGAGGAGAGATGATAAAATTCAAGCCTGAAAACTCACACATTTCCAATGATAGTAATATTCAAATATCCAATATTTTACTCTGTTCCCTTTATTCTATTTACAAAAAGTTACTTCATACTTCAATAATGATACCTCAAAATAAACTTACCACACTTTTCATTAAAAAGATTTTCAACCTTCTGTTTTAGGTCTGTGATTTTGGCATTCCAGGCCTCTGCAATATAAAACAAGAGATAGCTAAATCGCAGTATTTACCAATACACAGTCACAGGCAGGAATTTTTCATCTTATTTTATTGTGCATCCTTAAGAACTATGACACTAAAAATGCGTAAGTTTTTACCACTACCATGTCTTGGCAACTAATCCAAACCTGATACATACTTAACTGTTTTATCATATTACTAATACAATGTCTACAAATAAATGGCAGGCTGAAATAAAAACAAATAAAAACTGATTGGCCGGGCTCGGTGGCTCAGCCTGTAATCCCAGCGCTTTGGGAGGCTGAGGCAAGTGGATTGCCTGAGCTCAGGGGTTCAAGACCAGCCCGGACAACTTGGTGAGACTTCGTCTCTACAATAAATAAAAAATTAGCCGGACGTGGTAGCACATGCCTGAAGTTCCAGCTACCTGGAAAGCTGAGGCAGAAGGATCGCCGGAGCCCAACAGGTCAATGCTAGGGTAGCCGTGAGCATGCCACTGCACTCCAGCCTGGGCAATGGAGTGAGACTCCAATACCCCCCCTAAAAAAAAACCCCAAAAAACTGAACCCCTACCACCAAATCATGGTGTCCACTGTATGCCAGGTACTGTTCTAAGTACTGTAAATGACTTATTTATAATTCTCATAATAACCCTATGATGCAGAAAGTAATCACCATTTTTGCACATAAGGAAACCAAGGCACAGAGATTTAACTTTCCCAAGACCACAGACTTATCAAGCAGATTCATCAGACTTGAACTCCGGCAGTCTGGCTCTACAGCCCATGCCTTTAATATTTGACATATAGTGATTTATCAAATAAAAAATTCACCCAAGCCGGGCTTGGTGGCTCAGCCTGTAATCCCGCGCCTTTGGGAGGCTGAGGTGAGTGGATTGCCTGAGCCCGCGGGTTCGAGACCCGCCTGGGCAACTTGACGAGACCTCATCTCTACAATAAATCAAAAATTAGCCGGGCGTGGTAGCGCACGCCTGTAGTTCCAGCTACTCGGAAGGCTGAGGCGGAAGGATCGCCGGAGCCCAGCAGGTCGAGGCTGCGGTGGCCGGGAGCGGTCACTGCACTCCAGTCTGGGTGACAGAGTGAGACTTCAACTCAAAAATAAATAAATAAATACATAATAAATAAATAAATAAATTCACCTGGTAAAATAAAGCATCATTATATTATTTAAAACGATTAAATGAAGAAAAACAAAAATGCATATTTACCAAAGGAAAATTCTCTTCCCCGAGGCTTGAAGGGAACATTAGAACCATTAGTCTGGGTAGGGGTTCGAACAGCTGAGGTTTGAGGATTGTTGTTATTAGGGCCTAAAGAAGAATTAAAAAAAAATAATAATCAACACATATTTAATTACGCTGAAGCACTGCTTGTAGTTTCTCTAGGATAAAATCTTTATCTTCAACCCGTGCTGGAAAACAAAGCTAAATTCAAATTAAAATGGGCATTCCTGCCCTCCATCCATTTTTCTATTTCTACCCCTACAGCCTGGCATTTCCAGACAAAAGGCAGTTAGTTTTCTGGCTGATCTGAGATACTCACAGTCACTTGACACTTTATCATGCCTTTTTGGAGTCATGTCATTTCTGGTTTCCTATGTTTTTCTATCAACTCTCGAACATAAGCACAATTTTAGGCACCGCCATCTCTACTGGAAAGTTTTCCTTTGGATTCTCCAACAGCTCTGACACATCCTTTCTTTGCATTCTTACAAGTTAGAGATGTTAAAGTTTATCAGTTGTTTCCTATTACATGAAAACGAGTGCTAGTTCCATGCATGCATGTAAGTCCCAGACCTTAGCTTTTCTTATGTAGGGATATCTAATATCTGGACAATAAACTTAAAATTTTAACCTAAAAATGATAAAAAGTAAGATACTTTTAAAAGTATGGACCCAAGCCGGGTTTGGTAGCTCAGCCTGTAATCTCGCGCTTTGGGAGGCTGAGGTGAGTGGACTGCCTGAGCCCGCGGGTTCAAGACCCGCCTGGGCAACTTGGCGAGACCTCATCTCTACAACAAATCAAAAAAAATTAGCCGGGCGTGGTAGCACGTGCCTGTAGTTCCAGCTACTTGGAAGGCTGAGGCGGAAGGATCGCCGGAGCCCAGCAGGTCGAGGCTGCCATGGCCAGGAGCGGCCACTGCACTCCAGTCTGGGCGACAGAATGAGACTCCAACTCAAAAACAAACAAACAAACAAACAAACAAAAAGAAGACCACTACTGACTACTGAGAGGATATGAGACAACTGGAATACTCAAGTTCCTGGTAGAGTGTAAAATGGTACAAACAATTTGGAAAACCGTTGGGCAGGTTTTCTCTGGAAGCCAAGAATCCAGCAATTCTATTCCTAAATATCCACCAAGGGGAAGAAAAGCGTACGCTGCATTCCGTGCACACAGGTTCACAGCATCTTTCCTAGTCAAGGACTGAAAATACACAGAAATGTCCATTCACAAGTAAACATATAAACAACACAAGCTGAGCCCGGATCATGAAAGAATACACTGAAATTCAAGAACAGCCAAAGGTGATCTATGGTGGCAAAAAGCAGATGAAGACTTGCCCGTGTCTGGGGCGGGCAAGACTGACTGCTGAGGGACCCGAGAACTTTCCCTGGAGAGATTGTGGGTGTTGACTGAAGTGGTGGTGCAAGTGCAGAAACATTTTTCAAAATTCATCTGTACAAATGAAATGGGTGTGTTCTGCTGTGTAAAAATCAGACCTAAAAAATGTCATTTGAAAAGTCATGAGAAATTCCATTTACAAACACGAGGTATCATTTGAAACTGATTAATACGGTACAAACAAAATATATCACCCCATCACTGACCTCTTGACAAAAAATTTCCCAGAAGAGACACAGCTCTTGGCTAGCTGAAACACCTTAAAATGCTAACAACTATTTTTATGGTGCTTCAGCTGACAGAAATCCAGCTTGGAGTTCATTTACAGCACTGGCTAGGTAACTCAAAGCTAATATAAATCTTTATCTACTGCAGGACAAAGCCTTCCAGTTTAACAATATGAAGTTACTCACCACAAATATGAAGGCAGGTCAAAACTATTCTTCAGTAACGCATCACTGACCTTAACTTTTTCTTTTGAATCAGAAACCAAAACTACAATGGAAAAGTTTAAGTGTACAAAGTGGGAATTTAACTCTAAGATGGTTTTTTTCCCCTCAACTTGAAAACAGACCGTCTGGTATGATAAATGGGTTTACGGCTCAACCTAAAGACCACGTCTACCTCGTATCCCTTGCTTGTTACTCTACTACAAAGCAAGAAATGGTAAGTACTTGCATTTCCATATGAAATTGTTTCAGATAACATATTTGTATTTAATGACTATATCCTAAAAAAGTTAAAAATAAAATTAATAAATACATCCAGAGGCTGGGTACAGTGGCTCATGCCTATAATCCCAGCACTTTGGGAGGCCAAGGTGGGAGGATCGTTTGAGCCCAGGAGTCTGAGACCAACCTGGATAACACAGCAAGAATCTGTCTCTACAAAAAAAAAAAAAAAATAGCCTGACGTGGTGGTATATACCTGTAGCCCCAGCTACTCAGGGGGCTGAGGCTGAAGGATCACCTGAGCCCCGGAGGTTGAGGCTGTGGTGAGCTGTGATCTTGCCATTGCACTCCAGTCTAGGTGACAGAGTATGAGCCTGACTCAAAAAATAAAATAAGATAAAATAAAAGTCCACACAACTTATATATGAATGCTCTTATTAGCATTATTCATAACAGCCAAAAAGTGAAAACAATACAAATGTCCATCAAGTGATGCATGAATAAATAAAATCACACTGGAATGTTACTTATCGATACAAAGGAATGGACATCTATCGTCAGGATGGCTGTTATTTTTTTAAAAACAAAATGATAAGTATTGACAAGAATGCAAAATGGTGCAGTTACTGTGCAAACTGATCTGGCAGTTCCTAAAAAAATTAAACATGGAATTACAAAATGATCCAGCAATCCCATTTCTGGGCACTTACCCAGGAAAACTAACAATAGGGACTAGAACAGATTTTTGTACACCTAAGCTCACAGCATTATTACCCATAGCCAAAAGATAGCGGCCATGGGCTGTGGGTAGGAGAATGAATGAGGGGTCAGTATTTAATGAATATGAAATTTCAGTTGGGGAAGACAAAAAAGTTCTGGAGATAGATGGTGGTGATGGTTGTACAACGATGTGAATGTACTTAATGCCACTGAACTGTGTAACTACAAATGGTTAAAATGATAAATTTTAGGTTATGTATTTTAGTTATAATTTTTTTTAAATGGGGGAAGGGAAGAATAGAATACTGGTACATGTGACAACAGAGAAGAAACTTGAAAACATGATGCTAAATGAAGGAAACCAGACCCAAGGGACCATGTATTACATGAATTTAGTTATATCAGGGTGACATGTTGTATGGTTCTGTACAAAATAATCCAAAATAATGGGGTTTCTTTAGTGGTGATGATTATACATTACTAATATGCTAAACAATGAACTGTGTATTGCTTTTTTTTTAGTTGGAGTCTCACTCTGTCACCCAGGCTGGAGTGTAGTGGCACACTCATGGCCACCCCAGTGTCGACCTGTGGGTTCAGGCGATCCTTCCATCTCAGCCTTCCAGGTAGCAGGAACTACAAGTGTGCTACCATGCCTGGCTAATTTATTGATTTATTGTAGAGATGAGGTTTTGCCAAGTTGCCCATGCTGTTCTCGAACCCACTGGTTCTGGCAATCCTGTCACCTCGGCCTCCCAAAGTGCTAGGAATACAGGCCTTAGCCACCACGCTCAGCCTAAACTGCATATTTTTAATTGGTGAATTTTATGATATGTGAATGACATCTCCATTTTTTTAAAAAAACCACGAATCAAATACTATTCTTATTCCCATTTTACAGATGTGTAAAATGAAGAATAGAGGGTTTAAGTAATTTTCCTAAATCCAGAATCCAGATTTAAGTCCCATCACTTTGGCTACGGGGCCTGAGCTATATTTTATTTTACTATTTTAAATTCTTTTCTTAAGCCAAGAGTCTTAAGAACAACCTTCTAGGAGATTCGAGAAAGATTTCTTGTTTTTCCTAACAAAAGACGCAGCAGGGCTGATGCTCTATTTTCTCTCCCTATGCATGTCCTGCTTGGAGGTGTTATACCAGGAACTCATTGGCTGCCGAGCACCCAGAAAGGAACAATCAGGAGTCCCAGAGAAGCCAGTCTCACCATCTCTGAGCTACAAGCTCAACGTCGGGGAAGTCTACTGGCAGGATTATTTTTATGTGAGAAAAACAGGCAACTCCCTGTTTGTAAAATTATGGCTGGCTGCAATAGAAAACAATCCTAAAGTTAGACCTGGTAACACTACTTTTATAGCCCCAATCCGTTCAACTCATTACATTAGCTATTCATTTCTCTCTGTCCTAACATCTAATTGATAACCAAGAGTTTAAGTTAGGGTAAGGCTTTGCTTTAACAGGAGTAGTGAATGAAAAGTTTAAAAATACAAGTAAGAATAGCTTCCAGAAGTATACCCCCAATGTACCGACTATTATGAATTAATTTATCTTTGAGAAACATGCTCTTCTTTTTTCTTTCTTTCCTTTTTTTTTCTTTGAACCACAGTCTTACTCTGCCATCCAGGCTGGAGTGCAATGGCACACTCAGGCTCCAGCGATCCTTCCACCTCAGCCTTCCAAGCAGCTGGGACTACAGGCAGTCACCACCATTCCCGGCTAACTTTTGATTTATCGTAGAAATGAGGTCTCGCCAAGTTGCCCAGGCTAGTCTTGAACCCATGGGCTCGGGCAGTCCTCTCCCCTCTGTCTCCCAAAGTGCTGGGATTACAGGCTTGAGCCACTGCACCCAGTCTATTTCTTATACTTTATTGACAGTACCTGTAAAAATAGTATGTATTAACTGGCTGTTTCATTTCCCCCCCTGAACTTGCAATGTAATTTTACACCAGAGTTAGAAGGGGAGAAAAAGTGTAGAAGTTGGAGTCTCTCTGCTGGCTGTTGTCCTCTGGGTCTTAAGTCTTTCTCAATGCCCTAAATGTCTTACAGTGAGATCCTCTGCAATTCTCCAGGGCTCACTGACTCACCAGTCTCTGAACTTGTTCTTTGTCTTCACCGTGATCTCTGAGTTCATCCTCCTAGTGAAGTTCGAAGGCCATCACTCCTTCAATTGCTTCCTTCACCAACTTTATTAAGTGAAGACAGCATGGACGAATCACTTTAAGAGTACTACTTCTGGCTGGGTTAGGTGGCTCAGCCTGAGCCCATGAGTTCGAGACCAGCCCGGGCAACTTGGTGAGACCTTATCTCTACAATAAATAAAATAATTAGCCGGGCGTGGTAGCACACGCTGTAGTTCCGGCTACTTGGAAGGCTGAGGTGGAAGGATCGCCTGAGCCCAGCAGGTCGAGGCTGCGGTGGCCGTGATTAACATGCCACTGCACTCCAGC